CCTGCCGGCCAGGCGAGGCCCAGCCCGGCCGCCCCTGCTCCGGCGGCCCGCAGCCTTCCCCAGGGTCACCACCTCGGATAACAACTTCCCCCGGGTCACCCCCACAGGTCACCCCTTGGGAAGAGACGAACAAGCGCTAGAGGCATTGCACTGTGCCTTGCCTTTTTCGTGGTGGCTTTGGGAGTGGCAAGAAAGTTCCCATGTAAATGCTTTTTATTTTAGAAAAGAGGCAGCTTAGGTGAGTTTTGCTTAATGTATCCGCTCGCTTCCACATCCAAACTTTTCATTTCCTGATCAAAACTAAAGAAAAAAAGTATTTGGCAACAAGTTTCAGCCATTGGGGGTCATATAAGACATAAACACTTTCTGCAGGGAAAATTCCTTTTCAGCTAACTCAATTTTCAACATATGTTCACTATAACACACAAAACACCAGCATTCGTGTATGGCAAGCCTCATAGTGCATTCCTATAAAGCATTATGTGTTCTCTATTTAAGTCTATAAACAGGTGTGCAGTCTCCTTTCCCTTTGGGTAAAATTCCCATGTCCCATATCCCCACTTAGTTGTTTCTCTTTCCAGCTGACACTTTGAAGTTTGGAAAAAAAAAATATCAATCCATCGGTTAGATGAACATCTCAGCAATCTCAAGATGTCTCAGGAGGTTTCCAGGTCATAAAAAATGTATAACAACTCTCTGTTGGCCTTTTTTTTTTTTTTTAAATTGAAGCTTGGCATTTTGTCTGCTATATTTTGGGTACTTAAAAAACCAACAAAGTCAAAACAAATTGTAGATGAAAGATAGCAACAGAGAGGAGAAAGAAAAGAGAGCAAGAAAAAGAGTTAAAATAAAAACAGAGAGAAAAATACCCAACTGACCGGCACTGTTCTCACATAAATAATGGACAGCCAGTAAATAAATAAGTTACAGGGCTCAGCCAAGCCCAGGAGACTGGTGGACATGATCCTGCAAGTTTATTAGAACACAGAAACACAGCTGGAAGGAGATCCAGGAGGTCACTGAGTCCAGTCTGCTGCTATCTCTGGCAATGCCTCACTCGAGACCCCCACCGGGACCAATTTTTCTCAGCTAGGAAGATATGGAAATACCCCACCACAATCAACCCTGTGATTTGGGACTTGCACCACTGGGTGTAAGAGCAGAATTTGTTCCCCTTGCTACACCACTGAATTACATTCATTTCAAGGCACTCTCCACTGTGTACTTCACAAAATCTTCCCTAGCACTACCAGGAATTTCTAGGTTTTCCAGCATTTGCTTTCTCAGATCTGCCCTGAGAACAACACAGGGGCCTACAGGACTCCTGCCAGTATTAATGAAGACCACACTGACATTCCTGAGAGAGAAGATACATCCCTGTTGCAACAGTTCCCACATCTCCACATAGTTACTGTAAGGAAAGTCCTTAAAAAGATATCTGCAAATGTAATTTTTCTAGCGAGGTGCCAGATGCTTTGCCCTCAGAAAGTTCCTTAACAGCTTCGCAGCATTTGGGTGGGATGTCTCTCACTCAACTGTAGACAACTATCATGCAGACACTGTCATTTGAATCAGTCTCTCCAGGCTTAGAGATGGTGGAGAGAGACAGACACTTGACAGCGTAAGTTAGGTGCTTTAGTTTTGTTTCCACTTAAAGCTGAAACAAATCCATCCCTGGTGATTCACTGACTCCTCTTCAGCTTCTCTTCTCTCACGCCAAAGGGAGCCTGGATGACACACAAGAAAGCATGTGCTTCCAAGCTGCCGGCTTAGGTGAGACAGATCCCGAGCTTGCTGTTGGGTGTAACTTAAATTTTGCTTGTGTGTTTAAGCACCCAGCAGTAGCTTTCCCTTCTACCACACACTCCTAGTGAGAATTCAGGAGTTTTCTCTGCCACACCTGAACCCGAGAGCCACCTTCGGCTCTCTAACACCACTTCTAACCATCCATCCCATTCCAGTTTTCTTCATGAATACTCCTGCCTCTATGTCCTGTTGTTATTTAAAGCTTTAAGAGGGCTTGCTAATACTTATCCAATATTAGATAATAATGATATCACATAAGCCAATACCATGACAAAAATACCGTAAGAATGACAGCAATGTTACCATACTAACTATAATGATAGCGGTGTCTTTCAAAAAGAACGAGGGATTTAACCTCTCTATCCTGATTTGCAGCCTCCCTTTGCTACAAGACATCTCAAAAGCAGAGAGAATGCACGTCAGCAGGAGGAGCAGCTCTGACTGATGGAGGAAGGTACAAGCTTAATTTCTAATAGTGAACCTTTCTCCATTTCTCAAACCATCTGTTTGAGTAGGATGAATGCGGCAGATACCCTCTAGCCATAAAACCTGCTGGATTTCATTAGTGCAATCCCAAATATATCTCAGAAAAAAGCATTTGAGGAGTAATCCAATAGAGTATATTATTTTTTCACTTTGTCACTACAATTTACTTGCAGACAGACATCACTGTACGTAAGTGCAGTAGGCATGCACAAGTTCAGTACCTGTTCAGTGATAAATGGTCAAGCTTATTTATGGAATTTAGAAACACTCCCTTGTTTATCTTACAAGTAACTTTCAGGTGTTGTAAAATTACAAACATAAAGGTGCATTGATTTTTCACTGCTCTGCTGCTGGCATGCTTTCTGTATTTCTTCTCAGACAGGAAAATATGATAAATACGATGGTCAGTTCCAATGCCATTTAAAGTAACTCTCTGGGGAATCTCCCTTTCAGATCTTGCAGGCTAACAGACTGCACTGAAGTGGCAACTGCTCACATGCTTTAGTAACTTATTTGACTTTCTAAGTGAAAAAAAACCCCAACAAAACACAAACTCAAAGGCTGTGCAATCACGTCGGCAGCTGAGAACAACCTCAAACCTGCTCACTATCAGTAAAGGCACAAAACCCAACTGGCTGCACGTTCAGTTGCCAGCAGCTTTCCTCATCCCTGGAGCAGGCATGGTTCTGCCACTGAAACTGCGAGCTCTCTGGCCACCTCTGCCAACCATCGCTGGGCCTACGGGAACAGGACTGTCCCCAAAGAAAGCGCACTGGTCCCTGAGCCCCTTCATGTGCTGAGGAAGCACCAGAGCACCAGAGTGGAGCCTCTGCAGTGTAAATCAGCATGTGTAAAAAAGCAGGTCTTACTGGATACCACGAATATCTAGAGCGGTCACATTGCCACTCTCAAGTACAAGAGCACAGACTGACACCCTGACACCAACTCAAACCCTTGCCTTTGGTACAGGCTGGTGGCTGCAACCTGCCCTGCTGCCAACCACAAGTCATCCTCCCTGCTGCTAACCATCATCTTCCTTCTTCTGCACGGACAGATGAATGTAGCAGTAAATTTGTCACGTGCAGGCAGGCAAGACTCTGAACCATAACCTCACCCACTGAATATCCACCTCTACCTGGTCAGGCTGCCTCCCCACTGGCACGAGCCCTCTCCCATTTTCTTTGGACTTCGAAGCATGAAGCAATGAAGCTAGCATTTAAATGCCTGCAACCCCAAACACTAATCCCAGTGCTTGCCCCAGCCCTGTTTCAAGCATAATCCTGGGACCCCCCCGGTTTCACAGAGCTTGCTGTAGTATATTTGCTTCTATTGCTATGAGACATGTTGTGGTTTGGTTGTATCTGCAGGACACACCACCAAACCAGCTCTTCTACAGCAGGAGAGCTTCCTTCCCTTAGGTTTAGGGTTGAAATTAGGGTTAAGATTCAAGACAATGATGATAAAATTGGTGGTAATTTCCTGATTAATCTTAGGACAAGCAGGGGACTTGGATCCTTGCTATGTAGGTGGCTGTATCTAGGCTGACCTCTCTTTTTCTGTCAGTGTGAGAAGACACTTGGTAGCCATAAGGGAAAATAGCTTAATACATTAGTTCTGGGGTACATAGGGGTGACTAATGAATCCTAAGACACTGGTTAGGTATGAGTTTAGTACCTAGTTTTGCAGCGGGAAGTGCCTAAGAGATAGGCAAACTCCTTGAAGGATTACACCACCAGAATGAATTGGCACTTCCAATGTCTTTCCATCAATTCTGCGATGGGACTGTGTCTTAGAGCAACGTGCTAAGGCCAGAGGTTGGGTTTAGATCAGTGTTACGGACACAGCTGGAGGGGTTGGATCTGCTAGCAAAGGTTTTGTCTTCATCTACTGTTGGTTCACTGAAAAAGGCAGCTTATTACTGCTGCCTGTTCCTGCTGCAGTTGAAGCAGCAGAATTGTGCACAACAGATTTATAGACTCTAAACCTGACGTAGGACCACGTAGGTGTCTACATTATGCTTCATAATAGAAGTTTTGTGGTCTTCACAATGTGACAAGCCAGGTATTCAGAATCCCCCCACAAAGACAGTGCTATTAAGGTGAGAGTCAAGCTCTGGAATAGTTAGGAGGTGCCAAAATTTAACGTAGCTGTTACAAACCTGATTTGGTGAGTTCCAGTACTGCAACAGATTTTAGCCACATGATCGTGGTTAGACTCGATGACCTCAATGGTATTTTCCAACCTAAATGATCCTATGATTTTATCACCATATTATGTTTCCCTCACATGACTCCTGCCACAAATACACGTGTAAATCCTGTGTATTGTTATGGAGCTTAATGGCTACATGGCTCATCACATTGTTACAACTCTGCAAGCCTTTGTGCTTGATACTTGACAACACTGGCTCTGCTAAACGCTGCTGCTGTGATTACTTACACAGCTCTAGTACAGGCATCCATAGCAATGCTATGGGCCAAAGCCTGCCATTCTCAACTTTATCCAAATGGGTGTTTTTAGCAGCTCAAGGCAGACCAAGCTCTGCATTTCCCTTATACATTAGAGTAGGATTAGCCCCGTTCATTTAGTTCAAGCCAAAAAAAGGTTTCACCTGAGGTTTTCTGAGCTGAATTCTGATTCCAGGAAGCGAAGGAACTGGTCTCGTCCTACTGGGTCCTTCAGCACCTCATCCATGGAGAAGCCCCATCTTTTCACACGCTGCTGACTAGGTTCTTTGCTGTTTGGAGAGAGAAGGGAAAAAACAGATGGAATGTGCCTTTCTGCCTGCTGTCTGAGCAGCTGCTGCTGTTTCTGCTAAACAGCAAAGGGAGGAAGATTGTCAGACAAGGAGACGGTGTTTTTTTCCTCAAGGTTTTGCAGAAACACAAGTTAGCAAATAACATACAAAAAAGAAGCTATAAAGACCAGGGTCATCATTAAAGTAACTGTACTATCTGGGTGCTATGTGCATGGTAAAATGAGAGACACAGTGAATTATTTGATTTGCAGAGTAATTTCTGGCAGGTTTCATGTAAAGGGCAGCAGACCACACTCGAATGGTTGTTCGTTATGCACTTCTTACACACCTCCTCAAATGTACCTTGGGAATTTCTTACACGTCAAGGCAGAAAGTTGCCAGCCGTGTTCCCTGGGCTGCTGGTGAGCTCCAGAGCATCTCCTTGAGTCCCACACCGTGCTGGCCGGTCACTTGGAACTGGCTTCAGATTTTCAGTTCCACATTTGCATTAAAAAAGCAGTTTCACTAAGAAGCAGTGCAGACAAGATTTCTTAAAATGATTACTAGTTTGTGGTCTTTCATTTTTTAGTGCTTCTGATTTTTGGATACCTACGTCTTGGAAGACTAAAAAGCATCTTCTTCCTCCCCTCCATGATAATCAGACTCTTATTTTGTGCCTCAGCTGGGACACTGAGATGCTGAGGCACCCAAAATCACTCACAACCCTTCTCCTAAATTATTTCTTAATACAATCTCACTTACATAAGCTGCTGTTTGAATTGCCAGACATGCTGCAGAGATGCCTATGGGGAGAGGCAGTGCCTGGGAATCACAATGAGGATCCTACAAGACAGTCCGCATCAGAGCGTAATCTGGGCTCACAAAGTGTTTGAAAGCTTCTGGTGTGATGGCGTCATACCATGAGACAACCATTAAAACACAGCTCAGCTGCTCACATTTCTGACAGCAGAGCCATTGTTAACAGTACATATCTATTAAACTACACGTCTCGTCATGTCCACAGTGATTCCTAATCCTGGAGCCTTAAGGGACAGTGGCGATCTGTGCTGAAGACAAATAAGCCAAAGGGGTAAATAAAATGCCCGCTTTGATTTCCTCTTGGTGTAAAGACTAAGCAACATTGATGGGCATGTCCTCACTCAAAGTGCAGGGCTCTCGGGATGGCTCCTCCTGTGCGCACTCAGGAGCCAGCAGCGCTGTGGACAAGGGCACAGATGCCAGCCTACCTGCTAAGTGAGCCAGCCTGGACACGGGGACACGAAAGCCATGTTTGTGCAGAGCTCTGCATGAGCGAAGCTCGTGGAATTTCCTGCTGAATACAGAGATCTGTAGCTGCTCTTCTTGCTGCTACACAACGCTCTCGCACGAACAAAAAGGCCAAAGTGCTGTCTAAAACTGAAGGCTTTCCGTGGCGTTTCCAGAGTCCTGAGTGCTGTGAAGGATGAACTGCAGTGGCACAGGGCTGTCCATACTCAGCAGCTGGCCTCACCACTAGAAGTGAGAGGCTCTTTGTTTTCCTGAGGGCTCTGCTCTGCTCACTGAAGGAACAGGCTTTGCAGCCAACACAAGGACTACTGCAGCTCTCGGGGATCATTTAATTATTCATGCAAGTTGCAACTAGATGCAGATGCAGTGAGTTCTCTTACAATAGAAAATAAAATGGAAGTACAGAACTGGCTGTTCTTACATTTCCCAACAATACAACTTGCTCTTTTTCATCAGCAGGAGAATCACCTTCCTTCAGTCTGAAATCATAGCAGAAGCCAAGCATTTATTTTAAAAGCCTCCAAAGGCTGTAACAGCAGGTTCATTGTATTCTTCAGGGACACAGACATCTTTTCTGAGATTTGCAGCTACCTCAGCAGATGCAGAAATAATCGATGCCTGGATTACCTTTTGGGTGGGGGTTCCTTCAGAGAAGTATTTGGCAGGGGCTATATCTGGTTCTAGGTCTGCTAGGGAGGATGGAGAAAATTACTAAAAAGAAAATCCAAAAATACTGAAATTATGTGAAGAAGGGCAGAGATTAGGGAACCAATGGATTTCTGTGACTACCAGAGAAGCAGGTGAAAATATCTGTCACATCTCAGACTACATGGGTTTTAAACAGGGAAATAACTTGCCCTTTTCCTGAAATTCCGACTCGCTATGAATTGGCTTTCTGAGGCTGGTAGCATCTTAAACTTTACATTACTATTCAAGACCAGATAGGATTAGAGTTGGTGTTCTCCTCACAAAGATTTGCTAAAGTGAACTCCCAGTTCAGATTTGGTGCTGAACAGCAACGACTAAACACCAGGAGAAGCTGCTGAGCACCTGCAGTAGTTGGCCACAGGATGTGGGTAGCAAAGGTGGTACATGGCATGGTGATTTCATTGAAACCTGCTGTGATAGCTGCTAGGCACAGAGGCAAGCAGGACAATTCTAGCCCCACTGTGAGGGCTGTAGATAGCCTGTGATGGCAAGAGATGTAGATGCTGGCCAGACTTCCCTTGCACCAGCATCACATGGGCAAAAGATGATCTAATTTGCAGTGCTGTGCTTGTTTTTTTTGAGAAACCTTGAGGTGCAAGGCATTGGAGGTCTTACAGTCATTCCTCCTCCTTTTCATCTATTAGACACTGTAACAGAGACAAGCCAGCCTGTTCACTAAGAGGTGAGGCCCAAACTGGCTTTGTAAATCTATTGTAATTCTGACCTGCCAAGGCTCACACATTACGTGTGAGCTGCACTCCTCTGGCTCCTGCCAGATCCACATCTGCACAGCGAGAATGCTCACTGACCTATAACCCAGCCTATTCTGCCAGTGGCATCTTTCATGGGATCCCAGGACAGGAGTAGGGCTGGAGCACTGCTGCTGGGGGAGGACCAGAAAGCAGGCATTCAAGGGTCAAAGGAGATGTGCTGGAACAAGGATCTCTTAGCAATATCCTATATCTGTGGACTCCTAAACCTGAGCCTGTGCATGTCCTTGAGAGGCATGAGAACATCCATTACCTGACTCACAGAGTACCACACACCAAGTCATATGGAAGTGGAAGGGCTGAATAATTCACCAAAGAAGTGATAAAGCATAAGCTCCTGTGTAAACTTTAGCTATGTATTTGCATCTTGAAAAGTTACACACATCCGATTTCCTATCCAAACAGGGCAGTGGGAAGAGCATACAAACAAAATGGCAAGGCAACTCTAACATCACCCAAAACTACCAATTCTTACCTCATTTCAATGTCCCACAATGCTGCATCATCACTTATCCAGGGATTGGAAGGCTCTGCAGGAGTTATAAAGGGGTCATATTCCACATACTGCTCTGAGTAGGCTATTAAACTGACAGATATGAAAAAGAAAAGAAAAAGAAAAAAGAATCAGGGCCTGAATGGTCAGTCACATGTAAGAGGTGCAGCTTTGCTTTTATTTTTTCTTTCTTTTTTTCTTTTTTTTGTGGACTTTTTTTATTTTCATAGGGATTAGACAGTTTCTCAGCAACTGGAGGAGTCCCTTTTCCCAAGGATGCCAGGAATTCTCTGCAAACACCCACCAGCTGGCTGCAGCGTTTTCCTCAAGCTCATCTCTGTTGAGATGCCCACAAAAGCTTGATGAGGCAGCGACGGGATTGCTGTGGTGGGACTTGCCCCAGAGAGCCATGGGGTGACTGTGAAGCATGTGTCCTGTTCATTTGTTGCACATTGCTGTTGCCTTTTGCCCTTCTGGTTGTGGCAGACTTTTGCACCCATTTAACTTCATGCATTATGAGTAACTCATCTAAATAGGGTCATGTGCTGCAGCTAGGAATATATTTAAATCTTTGGAGGATCACAGTCCTGAGCATCAAAGCTTCAGGCTATAGATCATTTTTTGGCTACAGCGGTACACCATTTCACAGAATCACAGAGTCACAGAACGTTAGGGATTGGAAGGGACCTCCAAAGCTCATCCAGTCCAATCCCCCTGCCGGAGCAGGAACACCCAGATGAGGTTACACAGGAAGGCGTCCAGGCGGGTTTTGAATGTCTGCAGAGAAGGAGACTCCACAACCTCTCTGGGCAGCCTGGGCCAGGGCTCTGTCACCCTCACTGAGAAGAAGTTTTTTCTCAAATTGAAGTGGAACCTCCTGTGTTCCAGTTTGTGTCCGTTACCCCTTGTCCTATCATTGTTTGTCACCGAGAAGAGCCTGGCTCCATCCTCGTGACACTCACCCTTTATATATTTATAAACATGAATAAGGTCTCCCCTCAGTCTCCTCTTCTGCAAACTAAAGAGCCCCAGCTCCCTCAGCCGCTCCTCAGAAGGGAGATGCTCCACTCCCTCCATCATCTTTGTAGCCCTACGCTGGACTCTCTCCAGCAGTTCCTGTCCTTCTTGAACTGAGGGGCCCAGAACTGGACACATTTAGTCTAATGACATTATTTAAAAAAAAAACTTCAACAAGTCGTTTATAACCATTAACTTAGAATGCAGTAGATTATATGCCTGTTGAAAAAAACACCTGGCCTTTATATTGGCTTGCTTCATGACGAGTTAGATAAGACATAGAGCCTCTAATCCTTGCTAGGATGATTCAAAGAGCTTCCTGGGAAAAGGACTGCGTCTGCTTGCATAAGTGATTCAGGAATTCCACTGGGGCTGGGGCTAGGGGCGCATTTTTACAAAAGAAAGACAGCTTATATGAAATAAATCAACACATTTGTCCTAGTCTATATTGGAAATACTCTAAGGCACTTTTTAATTTTTTTTGCCTAGGTCTGCCAAGTAATTATTTAAGTTAATTGAGTCTCATCGTACTGAACAACCAATCTACTTGCACTGTGACTGTCCAGGCTAAACTTTACCTCTGGTCTTCCACATCTCAAAAAGGCAGGAGAATGAAAAGACCCTGTGAAACAAAGGGTCACAAAAGGCAGAAAGTTTCCCTGACCTGCTCTACAGTAATTATTTCTTTTTGTTTGTCCTAGCTCTTATCACGAGGCATTAAAATCATACACTTTTGTAACCACAGCAGGTTCCCATTGCCCCTCAGGGCACTCAGGGCTGTCTCATCTCATTTCATTAATTACATTTCATGACTGCTGTGGGTCAAGGGTTGGAGGAGGGAGCAGCGTCCAATTTCAGAGAGCAGCAGCAATCCCTGAGACATCCATGAGAGGAGGGTCGGTTAAAAAAAATACCCCAACAAAAAGGATCAGTCAGGAGGTATATGCTGCGAAACTTGAATCGCTCCTAATAAAAATAATAAGAAGGCATCAGAGGTGCTAGTACAAGTACTAGCAAAAAGAAAAGGAGGGGGAGAATTAAATGAAACAAGGGAAAATTGCTAAGCACATTTTGCTGATGCAGTATAATGACTGCAGAGGAATTGTTGCCTCATTGTCTAAAGGAGGCTACCAGTGGGGGACTCCTATGGGAAAGCATTTCTGTTGAAATGCAAACCTGGACTTCTGGCCTTACAGGTGATGCACTGAATTCTGGTAGAAGAGGTGGTGGGAAGAGTTCACTGAAGGGTGCAGAATTTGCCTTGAGAACCCAACTGTTTTGCAATCAGGAGGCCCTGCTGAGCCTTCACAGTGACTTTGAGGAGCAGAGAGGATAGCACAGATTTTTCATCCAGGGAGCTGAGATTACTTCTGGTAGGAAGATGCTCTGGTCTACCCCAGCCATTTCTGTGATGCCACGTGTAGTGGGATTGTACTAACCCTGCATGATACAGTCAGGGAAAACAGCAGGTAGGATATATTGATGGGTTTGCTCAATGGTTCTCAAATCTCATTGCCAAATCCTAAACCTGACAGTGTGCAGGGAGAAAGGATGCGGAAGAAAGGAGAAGAAAATTGTTTCCAAGGTGCCTGGAGCAGCTGAGGGATGCCTGCTGTCACTTTGTGCAGACCCACTCCTGGAAGGGGAAAAGGAAGGAGGGGGTAGAAAACCTTTACTAGTGGGCATTTATTCCATGGGAGCTGGGGATAACCTTTTGAGTGCCCTTCCATTCCTCTTCTGCTGGACAAGGGCTATCCCATAGAATACCAAGCATTAATGGAAAATGTATGTGGTTGGTCTATCAGTTTTTGTCACTATTAAAATAATTCATATCTCATTCCTATAAGAGATTAGACAGCAGCCTGTTTCCCCCACTGCTCCCTGCCTTGTTTGTTCCTTGTTACTTTCTTTGTCCTGCCAGAAAGTGCCTTTGTGTTGCACTGAAAAAATGGCAAGTGGTGCTGCTGTCAGACCTGGCTGTCAAAAGGAGCGTGCCAAGAAGTCATCTCCTGCACCCCAATCTGCCACCCTGCCACTTAAACTAGTCCCGAAAATGGGGCCCAGCCAGCGAAGTGACTTGCTACTAACGGCACCTCCTTATGCAGCAGATTTACTCCTGGTATTTGTATGCAGTATTTTATATCGGGCTTTCAGGCTGCACGGGTTCTTATTTCAGGGAATCGTTCAACTCAGGTCCTTCCTCACCCATCTCCACCCCTGCCAAGTTACTGGACTCATCAACCCCTCTACTTCCCCCTTGCCTGCTCTGGGATGCTCCACATCCAGGCTGCACTTCCCACCACTCTGCACCAAGCCCTGGGACCCTCCAGCCACAGTCATCACATAACCAAACACTTCTTCACAAGATAGAAATATCGCAACCGTGGTTTTCATTCTTTATCATTTCAAAATGAAACTCTTGAAGCTGGAGAAAAGGACTTTTTGATTGTTCTCATGGTTATCTGTTTGCACATGGTTATCAATTTGCAGCATTTTCTTCTTCAATTTGGGATAAAGGAAAAAAAAGCCCAAAGCCCTTTCAAACCAGAATGATTTTCTGTCCAGTTTTACTGAAAACTAAGAGGTTTTTTGGCACCAACAGTGTTACATTTATAACGCCAGTAGCTCCGTATGAACTTGAACCACAGGTGTGTTACATGGACAGGATTCTATGTTCCCAAGTGAATGAGTTTTACTGAGTCCCTTTCATTGAATAAATACCTACCTAGAAAAAATTCAAGCAAAACAGATCTGCTTGCTTGTAAATTACCAGCCTGGAAATTATCACTGTCTCAATATATTAAGGTCACTGTAAGTAAATTCAGTACAAAATTACTTTTGTTTTTTTGTAAAGCACAAATGCATCTTCTTAATAAAAAAAGAACCAGAAAGCCCAAAACTTAAATATGAACATGCTAATTTCAATCGGACAATATAGTGCATGCAGGATTTCAGGGAGCCTCTGAATACTTTCTATTTAATTGGACACATTTTCAATTGAACTGTTAAATTTTATAAGCCAACAAGGACTTACTTTGAGGCTTTTGCTGTTTAATTTGCCCAGTTTAGTACACACATGCTAAGTACAGGTGCAGGCACTGCAAAGCACATTTCATAGAGTAATCTATTTTAATTTGTCTAAATAAAAATTCCTCTATAATTTCTTTACAAGGCATCAGCCCTTATCACATCTCTCATGTTAAACAGTTTTGCTCTAAAAGTGACATTACTGAAGAGCATGCCCATCCCTACATTGGTCTCAGTGATTACTCTGAGTTTATTCCTAAATAAACTGCAGGGTTGTGAAGGGGTGGGAAACAAAAGTACCGCAAGGGTTCTTTCTTTTGTGAATAATATTGGTGCCAAACTGGAGATGAGGAAAGAATGGGAAATCATGCAAAAGGGGGCACTCACCTCTCTGCTACTTTGGACATCTTTAAACAATGTCTCTCTATCTGTGCATTCAGAAAAGTTATCTGAGGAGAGAGATGACAAGGACATTAACAATCCAGGAGCTCTACAGCATGCATTGATCGTACCCCACCACACTATTGATTTCTCTTTCCAAACAGCTTGAAAGTAATTCAGAAGGAAATGGGACCCATCCCCAGGTATTAGAAGCAGCTTCTTAACCGCTTCCAACAGGAGTCTCCATTTCCTATGGAAAGCCTCAGGGGAAGCTCGAGAAGAACATAATTAAAAGTAGGAAAGGCACATATTTGGGGCTGAGGTTCCTAGACCACTCAGGGTGCAACATGATCCCCCTTTTACACCACACTCCTCTCTTCTCCTCTACATTTCTCTGACTAACCAGACCAATAATGGCTTTACAGCACATTTGCACTCTGCTATGGACTCATTCTTCACAGTGCGCCGCAGCCTATGCCGCCTACGATGGAAAAAGCTCAAGAAATTTAGTGTTCATGTTTAGTTCAAAAGACCACCCTAAAACTGGCTGCCTAAGAAACACGTTAAAAGCTGTCTTTACCAAAATGCTGACCTAGCAATTCCTGACTGTACTTCAGTGAGTGCTGCTCGTTGCAGGAAAGTAATTGCGAGTGATTGCTCCCCGTGCCAGGACAAGGATGTGCGAATTGGCCGGGCATTCCTCGGAGTGACTGTGCAAATAACTTCTTCCTAGCTCCCTAAGAGCTCTGACTGTACAGCCCAACAGTCGTGCACTGAATGGCGCGTTTCCTCAGCACCCATCCCCAGCCTGTGCGCCAGCATGCTGGCTTCTTCCTGAGCCTTTGTCACTGACCAGACATCTTCAGTGAGCTGGAAATTAATCTGTATACTGGTCCAGAGACAGAGTAACGATTGAAAGGTCAGATTCATCCATAATATCTCTATCTATTATCATACAACTGCACTGATCAATGAAAAAAAAATATATCTACGTGTATATATATAAATATGTAACACTGCGTAAAGTATGTGAGGATCAAGGACAGGTAAAGCATTCAACTGGTTTTGCTGGTATCTTGCTAACTTTATATGCTTTTTTTTTTGTCAGATAACAGCTCTCACCTCTGAGATAGTTGTGACACAGCCATCTACTTACTTGTTTCCGGAAATCCTCTTTCGTAGTTTTGCGTACAGGTTGGGAGGGCATGTGTACAGGGCTCTGGGGCTGAGACTCCTCTGTAACCCCGTACACTGACTGTGAGGAACCAACAAACAACCATCAGAGATTACAGCGTTTTTCTCTGTTACGCAATGAGGAAAAAATTATGTATGTATGCAAAGCAGGAAGGTAACAAGCCAGCAATTTCTTACTGTTTATATCCACACAGGTCAACAATCATCTACCCTGGAGCAAAATTTACAGATCAGACTGTGCTTGCAGACGCCTGCACTTGGAAGGTCTGCAGGCACATTAAGAAAAGAGTTTATTGTAAATGTTAAAATGCAGCTGATAATTTTTAGAAGCTCTGAAGGCTCTGTATGGCAATGCTTGCAGGATGAACACGGGGAGCGGTCATTGTAGTGAAGCAAGCAAAGAAAGAAAACACTAGAGCCTAATCCGATGCCATTTTCTTTCACTTGGTTTAATTTCTTGCTGTAAAACTACACACTGAAGAAGGTGCTTAATCAGATGTCAATGGGTCAAGCTCACTTGAGCCTCTCTAAACAAAAAGCTACAGATTGACTGGCAGCCATTCACTTTCAGGACAGAGACTGAAAATAATATTAGTTACCCTTGCATTGAGTGCTTTTGCTTTTTATTTAAAATCTGTAAAAGACATGTAAAGAGCTCTGCTGCAATTTAACTACCAGTGGAGGTTCAGGAGTCTGGTGTCCCCTCCAAAACAAGTAACAAGAAAAGAGGAAATAGCCTCAAGTTGTGCCAGGGGAGGTTTAGATTGAATATTAGGCGAAAGTATCTTCACTGAAAGGGTTACCAAGCACCAGAACAGGCTGCCCAGGGGAGTGGTTGAGTCACCATCCCTGGACGTATTTAAAAGTTGGGTAGACTTAGTGATATGGTTTACTGGACTTGGCAGCATTAGGACTTGATGATCTTAAGGGTCTTTTCCAACCTGAATGATTCTATGGTTCCATATACACGGAAGAGCTAAAACTTACTCAAAGTGAATGACACCCAAGTTGCCCAATGATCCAGCCTTTGAAATTATCAAGGCAGGTAAACAGCTCTGAAAAATTTGTGCCCAAATAATCTCTGAAAATGGGACCTAGGCACTTTTGCCAATTGCTTTTAATTTTATGAGAGTGCAGAGCTAGCAGCCATGTGGGACACCAAGCTCCTTAATGCCTTTCTCAGCTCTACTCATCACCCAGCCTGTACTGCTCAGCCGGTAAAATGGGAACAATAAATTCACATATTGGAACAAAATGGAACCGATACTTGCAAAACACTTTTATTTTGCTTGTTTCTATTGGGTAAGTCTGATATATTGTAGGTGTCAAGTGTGATTTGCATTTAAAAAACCCCAAACACACCACCCACCCAACACCCCCCCTGCAAACAAACTAAAACCAAAACCAGAAACTCAAACTGACCTTTTTCACCTTCTGTGGGTTTTTCATACGACGACACTTTCTAATGTCCATTTCTGTGGTGTTCACACACCCCGGCTGAAAAGAGATGGTCATCGTGTTTACACTTTTCATGGCACCCCTTACCTTTCTAAAATACACAATTACACCTTGTCCAAAATCCTTTCCTGAAGTTTGTGTCCCATTAATTATTATCCTTGCTAAACAAGACACTGCACATACCCAAGGTAGGCATCTCAGCATCCAATCCATTTACTCATAACTTTGGCACCAAAAGGAAATATCTCAGCTAAGAGGGGAGCTTTATCTAGGAAGTCTGAGCCAAACTGGGTAAGCTGCTTTGCTTTTGTATGCACAGTAAATAATCTTCAAAACTGTGCATTTATCATTTATTTCCAAATCAATAGTTCCATACATGCACGAGCCTAGAACGTCTAAAATAATCTTGTAGACACTTGGCATGTTTTGACTTTAAAGGCAATGCCTTTGTGCATGGCACAGTCTTTACCAGTAGTAAAACTTTCCCGTCAAAACCTGGAAAGTCTCATCAGTCAAAAAGAGCTTTACCACAGGCCTGTGCACATCCCAGAACGCTCTTTCCTGGCTGTCCAAAATCTTTCTTTCTGTTTTCTCTTTTTTCCTGTCGATTCTGAAAACAAAAGCACAAATATATGAGTCAATGCACAAGTAATGCTTTCCTCTTTGTTACAGTTCTTAGCTGTCGTTTTTAACCTCACGACAAAAAAAATTCAGAAATGTACCTTTTTGTACAGCAATGTCCCACTCCCACACTCCCTCAAGGCCGTGTGCCATGAACAAAATATCACTGATGTTTACTCCCATATGTGTCAAAAGATATTTTCCAATTAACGTGGAGAATTTATTTTAACATCTGTCTTTTCATCTGGTGACGATAAAAAACCTTTCCCGATATTCTGTTCCCAGGCCCTGATTTGACAGGCTGGGGAAGTTCATGGTTTTGGCTCTGTCGAGAGACCCAGCGGGACCTCTTTGCTCCAGGTGAAGCTCTTGGCTGCTGCTGGATAGAGGGCCACATTAGGAGGCCCCGTTGCACCCTCATGCCCCAGGAACACCACTGGCATGACTACAATTTGCAAAGGGGCAGTTATCCCAAGCGTTCCCAGCAGCAATAGCACGGGCAGCACTTGTGGCCACCCTTCCTTAGACTTCTCAACCCTAAGACCAGCTCTGCCTGTGTGCCTTGGTGTTGGTAGAGCAAGGGCTGACAGCACAGGCGACCAGAGCTGAGGTTGCTGCATGGCCTTGCACAAGCCAGCACTCACCTAAGTGACACGACTGGGCTGTCACCTCCATAACTCAGTACTTTCAGCCCTGGTGAAGCCAGCGAATTGACTCAAAGCACACATATCAAAGGCCACCAGAGGTTGTCCAAAGCTGTTCCCCTATCTCTGGGCACCATTGAGCAACTCCTGTCTGGTGCCTCACGCCCGTGCTCAGCTCTACACGTGAGCACAGCAATGTCACCACCAGCTTGCAAGATCTACCTGCAGAGAGACTGGATGAGGCACAGGGAAGGAGGAACTACCTCTGCCTCCAAAGTAGGACTGAAAAGCTGTGTGTCCCTGTGATGGTTTCCCCCATTGCTGCCACCCAGCAAAATCAAAGCAAGAAGGCAAAAACCCCACAATGGCTGGGATTTCTGACCATCAGGTACTCTCCCTCCTGGCTTTTTCTTTGGAGGGGCAGTGATCTCGGCTAAGTCTGCCCTAGCAATGAACCAAAGGGATAGGAAATGGGACAAACTGAAGTTTCTAAAACACACGCATGCAAACTGGAAGGACTCTTTGGAGGCTTCATGAATTATCTTCATGGGTACTTTGTGCTCAAGCAAGGTTCTTGGCTCATATCCCCAAACTTCCTGATAACTCAGTGTTTCACATTTTAAACAACGAAGACGCAACACAGATGCTGTATGGCTGCAGTTTTTGAGCAATGTAGGTAGAACAATTGAAATTCGGTGTGCAAACAAAGTTAGGGAAGGTGGAGAAGGACTTGATAAGCAGGAGGAATATTGTTAGGTATTTTTGGCTTGTTTTCCATTTTAGTTAACTCAGGGCTGTGAGTTACACTGTGAATTCCAGCCCTGCCTTGTAGGAAACCTGAAGACTGAACCATGCCATGAACTGGGAACCGAGAAGCTGAAACTACCCAGCAAAAAAGAGTTGATAGAGGCCAGTCCACACTTACATTACAAAGAAAACAGAACGGAGAAAAGGTGAATAAGCGACAGCGATCACGTAAAGGATCTGATATTTACATTTCCTTCTTAGGTAATAATTGTACGCTGCAGACAGAACGCAGAATTTTGTTTTGACTTCGATTTTATTTCCATCTTGGCAATAAACCTTTAAGTTACTGAAAGTACAATTGCTATCGTAACTTGTAATTTTCTCTTCCAAACAGAACAGTGGTATTCTAGTTGGAAAACATCCCTTAATTACCTCGTAATTTAAAGGATAATTACCATGTACTTAAATAGTGCATAATTACAATGTTATTAAGCAAAGAATTAATCAAGATTCCAAAGGGTTAATCAAAGATACAGACATACACCTCAGCCACACCTCAAGAAATGATGTTCCTTAACTTTTTCACATCTATTGCTGAAAGTGCAAATTCCTTCTAGTGGTACAGACTGTCCTGGTGCCCTCATGCACCATCTTCACCACCTTTTCCATATTATAGGTGACAACTACACGCACAAAACTGGCACGAAGGGGTTTAGGTTTAGGGGTTTAGTTTGTTGACGCCGGTCTAAAAACCCATTTAGCAGCAATAATGAAAACATGCTTAAAACACTGAGAGGTCTCAAACTATTTTCAGAAGGGAAGATGAGGAAAAAAAAGTCGATTTCAATTATGAGCAGAGGATAGGAAAAGCCCAAATACTAAATCTGAGTGATTTTCATGTTAGTGGCACCCAATTCCACACGCTAATTTAGTAGCACAAGTCGGGCTGCAGAGAGCAGAGGTACAACGGAGTCAACTGGGGATTGGTACAAATGAGAAAACCAAATCCAGACTGCTGCAAAGTTCTGTTCTTTCTGTTTATACAAAACAAAAACACTACACAAAAGCAGAATGGGCGAGTGAACTGCCCAAGCTCCCACGGTGAATGCAGGCTCAGGAGCTCCTGACCAACATTTCCACGTACAGATAATTAAACCCACCTTTCAGGTTCTGGCACAAACCTTCAGAACTGCCTCTCTCTAGTTTCTAGTCTGCCAGTGATTAACATTCACCAACACCTTCTGAGCTTAACTGCTGCAAAGACTTTGACAGAGAAGTTTTATCTGTACAGAAACCCCTTCCCTTCACAGCTTTGAATACTGGTGCAGTTCAGTGCTCCAGGATTACTCACTTCACTTGGGCCTCGGCTTGCATGAAGATGAATTCCCACTTTCGTGCAAATGCTCTCTGAAGTCTTGCTAAGTTTTCCTGACAAAAGATTAAAACAGTAAGAACAATTAATCCCTGTAATTATAACAACCGCTTAAGAGCACAGTTAGCATGGTGGGTGTTTATTTGATTCCTTTTTTTTTTTTTTAAAGCTGGAAAACTCAAGACAAGGAAGTCAGTGTTGGTTTCAGGTGAACTATCTTGCAGGCAAAGCAAGGTTGTAACGCATCCTTCCAGGCCGCAGCCAAGAGGGCCCTGTCAGGGAGAAGTAATGGAGCGTGATGAAGACAGCCTGAGCTCTACTGCGAAAATAATGATGGACTCCTTCCCAAAAGATAGCACTGGGAAGCTTTGTGAAGCTGATGACTTTCATTTCTGACAGCAGATGGCTGCCACCTGCGTGTTTCCCTCCCATCCTCACTTTCCCTTCCTCCCCACACTGCTCTCTTCTCTTCAAGGCTTTTGCTAAGGTGCAAAGCCTGAGCATCTCTCGCATTGCTCCCTTCTGGTCACTGCTGAGAGAATTGCACAGCTGCACAGCATTGAAGACTGAGGGTTGCCAGGATGATTCCCAAAAGGAAAGAGCTTGTTTGACTGAACCATCAACATCGCTGACTGCAAAGACTGGGTCCAGATGCTGCCTTGCTCGACATCTGAAATAAGCGTTCTGCTCCAGACCCATTACAGAGACTGTTGAGATCTGAACGTTTGGAAGTGGATGTGATTTCATCACAGCTCAAGGTCAGACTCGGGACATGGCCAGAATTTCAGGCTCAAATGGCACCCCCAAGTCACATCTCCATCCCCGCCCTGACAGGGAGGCCTACAAGACCATTAACCTGATGCTTTTCTCCATTTCAGCTGGATCTGCTGTTGTATATTTTCATTGAAAATGAACACTGCTGTTCTTTTTATACCTATTCCTTTTATTTCATGAAAGTGCTTAAGTGCACGCTTTTCAATGCTAGAAGAAATCTTCTTATTATTTACTTTAAACTCTTGTGTAACGCAAGGCATAAAGCTTGGCCCTGTTACCACCAAGTACATGTAAGAGTTCGAGTCCATATACACAGAGGAAAACAGCTAAGCCAAAACAGCTGTGCAGAACTGTGGTGATATCCTCAACTGTGGCTACAAGGAAGAACTACTTGTAATTATCTGCAAAAACAATTTTTTTCTGTGTGTTTTTTTTTTAATTATTATTATTTTGTTTTAAATTACGTTCACATGTGCCCTCTGGACTAAATATGCTGAAGCCAATGAGACATCACCAACTGAAGCAGTATTTGAATCATGCTTATGTTTGGCCAACGGTAAACAAAAACGAACGCAATTATGCATGCTCAATCATACCAAGACCCCCACTCTACCAGCAGAAATAGGGGGTGGGGCACTGTCTATGAACACTGCAAACAGAACCAAGAACTGAGAAGATGTCCCCTGAGATGCTTTGTAGAGATTCTCCTTGGAAACCCCAGGCCAGCGCTGCTGCCTATGGAGAAGCATTCTCACGCTCCATCTCCAAAATGTGTACCCAATGTACAGGGCTCCTTCCCCATAAGGCTGTTTCTCTCACTTGTGCTTAGCTTACACCTCCATCGCTGGATCTGCTTCAGGTCCCATAATGCCTAGGAAGAGCCGGTGCCATTCTTATCTGATTGTCTCTAATTAAGAGAGCAAAGTTTGAATGCAGAAGTAATCTCTAATTGTGCAATGCAATATTCACGAGAAAAATGAGAGACTGCCAAGATCTAATTATTTGCCATCACTGAAGCATTGCTACACTCAGTAGACAACGATGTGCAAAAGTACTTAGCCATGGCTTCGCTGCATGTGTGTGGGAGTGTGTGTGCTGCTGAACAGCCTTTTGTTGCTTTATGATAGATCTTTAGAGTACTTACAGTTAATTGGTTGGCTGTGAGCAATTTTAATGGTTTTAATAATGAAATCAGCAATATGCAGAAGAGAAAACTCAGCAAAAGGATGTGTAAGTGCACGCTGGTTATTATATTCCTTCCTTTATGCCTTTACTTCAAGATTAGAACCTTGGGAACTCTGGATTCATTTCCAGGTTGCACTAGATAAGTGGCAATTTTTGCATGCTCTTCATCAAAAGGACCAAATGGCCCATACATGTATATGTATATGTATATGTATATGTATATGTATATGTATATGTATATGTATATGTATATGTATATGTATATGTATATGTATATGTATATGTATATGTATATGTATATGTAGTGTGTGTGTATATATATATGTATATATAGATGTACACACACATGTGCACAAAAGAAGTCCCAAAATGCAGAAGGTAACGAAGAAGGAAACAGTCTATTCTTGGGGAAAAAAAACCCCTAAATTATATGCACTATAAATGCTTTCACTGTAATAAACATGAACACAGAAGTCCACTAGAAGCAGTTTTTGTAAACAACCCCTCCAACAACAACCTCAACATTTGAAATTCGGCTGTTACGCTGTTGAGCCAGTAAACAAACAAAACCAGTCAGTATGACAAAAGAAAAGTCGAGCTGGGCAGAGCGTTACACTGCTGGTATTCAAAGAAACGCACACCAGCCCTGCCCCTCCTGCCTCCCTCTTCCCACTCATCTCCACCCAAACCCTACACAGTCTGAAGACAAAGTTGAGGATACTTTTTGTGAATAATCATTTCATAACAGAAACACACGCCTTGAATAAGCTTGAGCAATAGTTTTTATATGGCACACTGAAAACAGCCCGAGTCTAATATCTGAAAACTTTCGTAACTAGATGGGTCATCAGCAATTTAATTGCCCACTAATGCACCTGAAAATCCATCATTTCCATGTGTTAATATCTGCTATATAAACCAGAAACTGTTAATTGGAAACAGGAACCAAGGTAAACTTCTGTGTGATTCCCCCTCAGTCTTGGAGGGCTGGCTAAAGCAGATGATTTAATTTGAGACATTGCAAAGCCAGGGATGCTTTCCAATCATATTCCTGAAGCTGTCTCCGGATCAACCTTCACACAATTCTGACAACTAAAAAAAAAGACACAGTAAAGGCTGACCCCAAAGCACAAAACTTCAGCATTCAATCGGCAAGCAAAGCCCTCCCTGCACCCCCCAGCTTTAAACTCTAGCAGCAGTGTACCTACGGCTTCATAATCCGCCAGCTCCAGCCGAGCTTTGTTCTGCATGGTCCGTTTGCAAAGATAGATGGCTAAAGGAACAAACAGAATGGAAAACAATTACAGACAGATTATTAGTACTAGATCTTAAAAAAAAGTGGCTCGTGGAGTGTTCATTCTCATCAGAAAGCAACAAGGAATGAGAGGGCTGAATACCCAGCTGACACCATCCACTAGTAATCTCAGGGGTCTTAAACATCTGGGACATCTCATTTAAAAGTGCTGAGAGTAGATGCCAGGACCTAACAAGATGTCTGAGAAAGGCACAATTGCTTCTGGGGCTGGTAAAAGGTTCAGCATTAGCAACCTCTTCCCCTCGGTACTTTGGGAATATGTCTGCCAAACTGAACAGCCCTACACTTCTTTGTTGTCTTCGAAAAATAAAAATTAAAATGAAAAAAAAAAAAGAAATCAGGATATTGAAATGAAAACAGAAATAAGAGCCAGACCTTAAAGGTATGATCTGAACATTTTTTCATACGCTCCATCCACTTACTGTACACATATCAACGGTTGAGAAAAGCCTTCTCGCGTTTCACCATAGGTAGGCACTGCAGAAACTGATGCGGTTTGGGATTCTGAGGGTCAAGCCAAGCCCAGGTGCAAACCACCAAACCAGTCCCAGGCTGCCTCGGGGAAATCCTCAGCTGGACCTGGTTACTCACCCCATTTTCATTACAGGCTGAAACACAAGGTCCCCAGCACACCCTGGCTATACAGTTGGGTCTGAACTACATAACAGAGGTCCAGTGCTCTCATTTTGGGATGGATCAAGATGTGAGTTTTATAGCTTCCTTATGTTTTGCCCTCTCTCTAACGCTGCAGGGCCAGGTACTTATTGTCCAACAGTGTACCAAACCAGAGTGGGGCAGAAGGCAAAGCATCATCTGCAGAAAACTGCAATAAATCTTTTTTTTCTTTTCAGAAAATTTCAGCTTTTATTTGAAAACTGTGGGGTTTTGGTTTGCTGGTAAATACAATTTTCTGACGCCTTCATGGATGTTTTTCATTAGAAATCTATTCTTCTATTGAAAATATGTGAACACAGAGCTACCCATGTAATTCTGTTCCATGCTACTCCTACAATTCTGACATTCATATAATGAACCAGTATTATGTATGGTAACCAGAGCCCATCAGTTCATGTATATTTATACATCTCAAGGGCAGTTTCATCTGTAAGCCATTTACAACACCAAATAAAGCGAGAGTCAGTCATCTCACAGTATTTCTTCATGCTAGGCACTGACCTGCCATTAGTGAGTTCCTGCCCTGTGACTGGATCCATGCAAATAAAAGAGAAGTATGAAGTGCTGCTGGGATTTCAGTTTTATTTGGGTCTACTGCTAGTTTGGGATTAATTCCTGGGAAGACTCCATCTGTACAGACCTCTGATATGCAAAGACTGATTATAAGCATATGTTGGAGATTTCTGGGACAGATGACAATCTGTCACTACAGGGCTCAGAGCTATTGCAGTTGCAGCTTGTCCAGCTGTGGGTCAGCTCATAGAGGGCTTTATTTTGAGGTGCACTGTTCCACACAGTAATCTAACCCCAAAACCAGTCAGATACCGTAGGAAAAAACAGAACTTCCCTCTTCAGATTGTTATTCTGATATTTACAGAATACATATTTGGCACAGTTCAGACAGTTATATATGGTAATCGGGAAGTTGTTTTGCATATAATGAACAGCATCGTGTTTTCTCCTAAGCAGTTTCCTCGCTGGGATAAACACACGAGTCTGTGCTAGCTTCCCTGCAGATGAGGACTGCAAATGAACTATTACATGACAGACACCATTGCAGGCTACTTCTCCATCCCAGCAAAAGATTTCCGTAATCCATAATGATGAATAATTAGTGCCCAGAAAAGAAAACAAAAAGCGATTATTCAGGGAAGAGCTCTAAACTTAAAGATAATGAGACATTTCAGAAGAAGGACTTCCAGAAGCTCCTGTTCACCTCCTCTCCCAGTGCCACACCAGGATGCAGCGATTGATTTTATCACTTAACTCTGAAAGCAGCGCAGTTCTGGAAGAGGCAGCAATATTGCATGCAGGCAGCTAAAGCTAACACCGCTGACACATTTTCTTTACGTATTATCACTGTCTGCAGGCATTCACGTGTTTAACACACCATGTTGTGGTTTATTAGCTCATAAAGCACGCTTAGGTCTTCTCTTTTTTTACCAGCTATCATCTGGTAATCTTTAAAAAATGGGAAAAATAAGTCTGATGTCATATATCAGAGAGCTTTAACTACGGGTTGCCATCAGTTATATACTGGTTTATTGATCAGCCAGATGAGTGCCCAGATGAGGTAAATTTTTATTGATCAACATATCAGACTCAGCTACAGATCAGAGGATGCTCTCCCACAAAAGCAATATTGGCACTGTTTCAGATTGCCAAGAAGCAGCATTCTGTTTGCCATAAATCCCGCTGAAACCAGCAGAGCTAAGGGAGAATGAAGGTAGCAGTCGGTAAAACCCTGCCCCCCCGCTGAACTTGACAGCTCCAGCTCCACGGGCTTGAGACACCCCGGGATTTCACTTCGTGTATTTGAGATGGGCACATACCTGCCTCTGATCCTGCAGTCTGACAAGAAACCCAGCTGACGAAGGCTTTAGATGGCCAACAGTAATTATTTTAAGGACAATTTTTCCCATCAGAAATTTTCTGTACTAACTTTTTACAATGAAATAATTAAAACTCTCACCATAATCTGTGTTTTCTGGTTCCCAGCAGTTTGAAGGCCAAAAGTACGGAGCCTAAGAAAAAACATACACAGTTTTGTAATTTAACAGATGAAAAACAACTCAGATGCAGAAAAACATTACAAGTACAAGAAGAAGAATCACGAAGTCTCTGGCCCAGTCTCTGCCCTCAGGAGAAACACTCCCTCTGATCTCAGTAAAAGTGAGGAAGCATCTCTGGAGGAGGATGTCCAGTACCTTGATGACACTTTAGACACTGTGCCAGCTCACCTGAATGTGGACCTCTTACTTTCTATCCCCACAACCTCTTCTTTCCCCATGAATTCACACGCATCCTGAATCTTTTTTTATTATTATTATTTCCTTTAGGAGCATGAGAAACCTCATGGCTTTTTATATACGCTGCAAACCACTTGCTTTTTTTTGGAGCAGCTACCAGTGTGGTTGGCAGCCTATAAAACAATTTACTTTTTAAATATAACAGATGGCAGAGGTCAAAACTCAGCTGATTAGAGCCGTTCTGAAAGCAGAAGTCCTGCTAAGCTGACTGCTTTTGTTTTCTATCCAGGTCTGCATATTGCAGTTGCTACAATTGATGACAAGACTGTACTACGTGTGGCTGTGTTTCAGTTTTAACGTGAGTGAAAAGTGATGTCCCCTGTGATCACACAAATGACAGAACACTGTTTTGCATTACTGATGCAAGGCCGTAAATGGGCGCAGCGCCTCACACACACAAAGACTACTGCTTGCACCAAAGAACAGCGAGAAATCATGGAGGGATCAAACAGAGCAGTGCTCAACGCTCCTCACACACGCAGCTTATGAACGTCACAAGATGATGAGCTAATGTTAAAGGAGGGACTGATGGTGAAGCGGAAAGTGGCGAGAAGAGAGCAATGGAAAGCAAAAATTATTCTATCAGGTTGTTTTTTTGCAGAAAATGGCCAAGGAGAATTGTTGCAAGAATTGAAAGCAGGCAAAGAAGCAAAGGTTGTACAAAAAGATAAGGGAAAGAAAGGTCAACAAGCAGTCAAGACAATTTGATGATGTGGTTTATACAGGCTTAAAATAAGGAAAATAAATTAAATTATGGTCAAATCTAGCTCCTGAGAGCTGCACAGGAGCACCTCTTATGGAGTCATCCTTTCGAAACAGAAAAATACAACTAAATAGGCAGTCAGTATTACACCTGCTTCTGTCAAGTCGTGCGTGACGGGAGGAGCAGGACTTTCAGAAAAGCAAAGGAACTGTCATGAAAAGTCTTTGACTGATGTCAGGTAACCACAATGTGGGGTGAGATAAAGAGAGGTCTGTGATCTCCTGGGCTGCTTTATTCAGCGTGCCATTGGTCTCATAGGGTAACACAAGCCACATCAGCAGTAGGACAGTGAGCATGAATAGGAGCAACATCTGATGCAAGAAGAACAGGTTTTTCAAATAAAAACTAAAAAAGATGGAAAAAAAATGCAAAGGAGAAATGGAAAGGTGAACAGAAGAGAGGTCACAGGAAAGATAAGGGAGCTGGCTTGGATCATGTAACAGAAAGACACAAGTGCAGCCAGCAGAATTAGGCAGCAGGACTCTAGGTCTGAACTTATTGCTTCTTTTAAAGTTATACAATCTGCCCAAAAGGAGTTGTTGCAGCACAAGCACTCAGTTATCTGGCAAGCTGGCAGCAGCAGATTTTGGAAAGGGCAGGAAACTCAAGAGCAGGATGCTTGAAAAATTCAACACATCTGGAGGCACAGGGACACTGAGGGATAGAGATGTCCCAGCTTAGGTGACTGCCAAGGTTACACATCCTCTGTAGAAGAGCCAAAGCCTGAAGCTTGCCCCGTCCTCACCAATCTGTCACCATGAGAGCATAAAAATGTGAATTTTCTGCTGTGCGGAGAGCTTGAATGTCCAACTCCAACATTTGCCCTGGTCCATTTTTCACAGGAGGGTGGCTACTCAATTCTATGTCAGGGTTAGAACCTGAAAACCACTTTATTTCTTATGGTTTAGTTCAAATCTGAGCACAACAGCCTAGAAATCACATATGACAAATAATCACAGGACATACCCGTTCATTTAGGTAAAAACCGTGGGCCAGAGATTGATTAAGGGATTCTAAAGCAGGTCCTTCTGAAGGGACTGCATAGCCTTCCAAGGCCTATACCAAGATAGCCTCAAGCTCTGGCTTCACAGACCTAACTGGTGCTTAGGTATAAGAGCGGGTGATTTCAGCAGTGTTACTGCAGGGACAGCAGAAGGGACCACAAGGAAGGCAAGAGGGCTCACCAACCTGAAAACGATAGAACGTCCCATCATCTTTCAGGGTAAGGACGTGATCTGAGATGGGGAAGACGTAACCCTGTGCAGCGATAAGACTTCCCAAGTGTATTGCTTCCCCTGTGAAAGAGAAGGGACATGTCAGGACTGCACACACACCTGCTTTCAGCAGCGGCTCTGGAGAAGACTGGCACTAAGACCTGGTGCACACATGCCCCTCTGTACCCACACCGCATCCTTACACCTTCTAACCAACCCGTGCAAAGCAGGAGAGCAGAAATCAACCTTGCAATACAGAAGAAACACTGTTCAAATGTTTAACCTGCTGGGTTTGTGTTTACAAAACGTCACACACCAGCTCAGCTCCAGAGTCTGCAATTCAATTCCAAGCACACTGTCCCCCACAGGTAACAGCCGACAAAAAGCCTGTTGCATCAGTAAACCCCACTTGCCTCTACCAAATCTGATAAACACCTGCAACATCGGGCCATTAGCAGCACGTTTATGCATAAAGACAAATCCTGACACTGTAGCACTGCCATTTATTAGAGGGAAGGGTGCTGAGGTGAAGGGGAGTACATATCCTAGCACTGCCAGGGCAACCTTTGCCAGCGCAGGGGTAGATCTGCATGGATTTTCATCCAATGTCTGCTGTAAAATGCTGCATCAAGCTTCTCAGAGTTGAAAAATACATATGAGCTGCTTCTGCAGCAGATAATAAAGCTATTTTCTGCAGCACAATTTCAGATTTCCCTAAATTCCGATCTGGGACTTGACTGGCCTCATGAGAAGGGATGTGTGTCTAGGGATGCCCTGGGTGAGACAACACGGCCTCTGTCTCTGCTTTACATGGTGTAGTTAGTAGGTGGCAGAAGCAAACTGAGAGGTGAGATGCTTTATTTTTTTCCCCTTTCCAGAAAAGGAAAAGAAACTTCTGGACCTGCAGATCTTTTCTTCCTCTCTTCCCAAGAGCTCTTAACTGTGCCATGAGTCTGGTTTCTCTGAAGAGTGAACTATTTGAGCTGTGCTCATCCACTGATCGCTGTTTATGGCTGATTATCCATTGATCTATCTGCTGTGCTAAATCAGTCATCATCTGATCCCATGATGGTGTCTACGCCACTATTGGCCAGTATGTCCAGTCAGTCACAGCTACCTTTCTCCACACCATGAAAACCTGCCACTGCGTTGGCCTGTTTAACCACACACATCCACTAACTTCCTTTCTAAGTCTGGGAACAACTTTAAAATCAATCGGTCTTTCTCAGGTAGCAACGATTACACAGACAGGCTGAGACTCCTACAAAGTGCTTTCTGTGTGTTGCAGTGTAAGGTATTAAGACTTAATTAAGATATTGATTCTTATCTCGTTCCCTCCTCCTTCCCACCAAATGCTTAAATCAACCTTTTTGTTCTACTGCTATTTTAGACTGCGGCAAAATCGTACCTACTGCCTCCTGGTGCACACAATACAGATCAAGTCTGTGTTCCTCCCCAGCTGTGGTCACCTTACCTGGATCCTCAATGCTAAGGTTCTTCATAAGCCACTGCACAATATCAGCACCTGAAAAACAAACAAACAAAAATACCCCAACAGGTGAAGAAAGTATTAAACACTGATACCACAAGGTTTCCAAGAGCCCTAGAAAAAGATAACATTGAGATAGATACAACAGAACCAACATAGACTTTATATTTTTTATCTCCACTGAGGTTTCAAAATGTTTTTCTTTCTTGTGTCACGCTATAATTCTGTAGGTATTGACAGTCCTGAGAAGCATCCTGTGCAATAGGAGACCTTTTATACCTTAAGTCAAATTTTACTCTGATGGTTCCATGTAACTTGTTCTCTCCTGGTTGTGTCTCCCACTTTCGCATGCAGGGAACTATGTTTCTGCAAGCACCAGCTAGCAAGGCAATGAAGGACATCACTAAGAGTAACTTAAAGCACAAACCTGAGTTATCAGTCTGAAAACCCCAGGAAAGTCTCACTTATGTCAAAGACAAGCAACATCTTGGAGAAGAAAGTGGGATTCACCAACCGTATCCTGGGCTGCATCAACAGAAGCACTGCCAGCAAGACAAGGGAGGTGGTTCTGCCCCTCTGCTCTGCTCTCATGGGACCCCACCTGTGGAGCACTGCACCCAGCTCTGGAGTCCTTAGCACAAGAAAGACCCAGACCTGCTGGGGAGGGCCCAGAGGAGGGCCATGGAGATGATCAGAGGGCTGGAGGCCCTTTCCTGTGAGGACAGGCTGAGAGAGTTGGGGTTGTTCAGCCTGGGGAAGAGAAGGCTCCGGGGGGACCTGATTGCAGCAATAATTAATGGGGGCTTCTAAGAAAGATGAGGACAATGTTTTTAGCAAGCCCTGTTGAGACAGGACAAGGGTAATAATTTTAAACTAGGGGAAGGTAGATTTGGACCAGACATAAGGAAGAAATTTTTTACAGTGAGGGTGGTGAAACACTGAACAAGTTGCCCAGAAAGGTGGTAGAAACCTCATCCCTGGAAACATTCAAGGCCAGGTTGAATGGGGCTCTGAGCAACCTGATCGAGCTGAGGATGTGCTGGCTCACTGCAGGGGGCTGGACTAGATGGTCCTAGTGGGACTTAGTCCTAGTCCTGGGTGGACTAAAGAAACCTTTAAAGGTCCCTTCCAACCCAAACTATTCTATGCCTCAGTGTGCCTGTAACCAAGCCAGTTGAGCTGCCACCAGCACAGTGGTGGTGATGGCACCAGTGTGTCCAGGAGCAGAGAAGTGAGTTTTTAAGGCACATCAGCTGGGTTTTTTTAGGTTTTTAGGACCTCTCAAATAGTACAAAGCTTGTTATTATCTTACACACAGTGTACAGATCTCTAGGAGTGATCATGTGTACTTCTCTCTTGCTCACATGAAAATCATAGAAGTGGAAAACCTGTCGCTGTTCAGTAGAAGCTAAGGCTTTTTGTCAAAATACAACAGGACAGGGCAGCAAAATTTAGTTAAACCTCATACTCAGAAAGGTAAGCTTAAAATTAAGTATAATGGTATGTAAAAGTCAGCAGATATGACTTGTTCAAAGTCAAAGGCAATCAGCAAAAGCACTTAGAGGCAATTTAGCAAGTCAGTGCCAAGTTACGGCAGCTTGCAGCACAACCTAACGATGCCGTGTCTGGATGCAGACATAACATCAAGCCCTTCTCAGCATACAGTCAATTCGTTGCAAAATATTTGCATTCACATCCATTAGGCTAATAGCCCTGGTAATATTTAGGGCTATGCTTTGTGATGTATCAGTTGAAGACAGCACACAAAAATGAACTTAACAAGCAATGCTTCAGGCTTACTAAACAAACCTGGGAAGACTTTATTTGCATGGAGCACTTCCGAGTTCAGACACGGTGGGTACTTAAAGAAACAGCATAACACACACGATCACAGAATCACAGAATATCAGGAGTTGG